GAGGGCCTGGTGGGCCTGCTGGCCGGCGGCGCCCCCGGCGCGCAGGAGCAGGCGGCGCGCGCGCTGGCCAACCTGGCCGTCAACGACGCCGAGAACCGGCGCGCCATCGGCCGGGCCCCGGGCGCCGTGGAGGGCCTGGTGGCTCTGCTGGCCGGCGGCGCCCCCGGCGCGCAGGAGCAGGCGGCGCGCGCGCTGGCAACCTGGCCGTCAACGACGCCGAGAACAAGCGCGCATCGGCGGGCCCCGGGCGCCGTGGAGGGGCCTGGGTGGCTCTGCCTGGCCAGCGGCGCCCCCGGCGCGCGGATCAGGGCGCGACGCGCAAGAAACCTGGCCGTCGACGCCGGAGAACCAGCGAGCCCAAGCGGCCGGGCACGTGGGCGCCGTGAGGGCCCTGGTTGGCTCGCTGGCCGGCGGCGCCCCCTGGCGCGCAGGAGCGGGCGGCGGGCGCGCTGGCCAACCTGGCATGGGAAGAGCCGAGAACCGGGGGCGCCCATCGGCCGGGCCCCGGGCGCCGTGGAGGGCCTGGTGGCTCTGCTGGCCGGCGGCGCCCCCGGCGCGCAGGAGCGGGCGGCGGGCGCGCTGGCCAACCTGGCCTGGGAAGACGCCGAGAACCGGCGCGCCATCGGCCGGGCCCCGGGCGCCGTGGAGGGCCGCAGGAGCCGGGCGCGCGCGCTGGCCAACCTGGCCCACGACGACGCCGAGAACCGGCGCGCCATCGGCCGGGCCCCGGGCGCCGTGGAGGGCCTGGTGGGCCTGCTGGCCGGCGGCGCCCCCCGCGCGCAGGAGTGGGCGGCGCTCGCGCTGGGCAACCTGGCCGCCAACGACGCCGAGAACAAGCGCGCCATCGGCCGGGCCCCGGGCGCCGTGGAGGGCCTGGTGGCTCTGCTGGCCGGCGGCGCCCCCGGCGCGCAGGAGCCGGCGGCGCGCGCGCTGGCCAACCTGGCCTGGGAAGACGCCGAGAACAAGCGCGCCATCGAAAGAACGACGGAGAACAAGCGCGCCATCGGCCGGGCCCCGGGCGCCGTGGAGGGCCTGGTGGCTCTGCTGGCCGGCGGCGCCCCCGGCGCGCAGGAGCAGGCGGCGCCGCGCTAAGAAACCTGGCCTAACGACTCGGCCGGGCCCCGGGCGCCGTGGAGGGCCTGGTGGCTCTGCTGGCCGGCGGCGCCCCCGGCGCGCAGGAGCAGGCGGCGGGCGCGCTGGCCAACCTGGCCTGGGAAGACGCCGAGAACCGGCGCGCCATCGGCCGGGCCCCGGGCGCCGTGGAGGGCCTGGTGGCTCTGCTGGCCGGCGGCGCCCCCGGCGCGCAGGAGCAGGCGGCGCGCGCGCTGGCCAACCTGGCCGCCGACGCCGAGAACCGGCGCGCCATCGGCCGGGCCCCGGGCGCCGTGGAGGGCCTGGTGGGCCTGCTGGCCGGCGGCGCCCCCGGCGCGCAGGAGCAGGCGGCGCGCGCGCTGGAACCTGGCCGCGACGCCGAGAACCAGCGCGCCATCGGCCGGGCCCCGGGCGCCGTGGAGGGCCTGGTGGCTCTGCTGGCCGGCGGCGCCCCCGGCGCGCAGGAGCGGCGGCGGGCGCGCTGGCCAACCTGGCCTGGGAAGACGCCGAGAACCGCGCGCCATCGGCCGGGCCCCGGGCGCCGTGGAGGGCCTGGTGGGCCTGCTGGCCGGCGGCGCCCCCAGCGCGCAGGAGCCGGCGGCGAGCGCGCTGGTCAACCTGGCCCACGACGACGCCGAGAACCGGCGCGCCATCGGCCGGGCCCCGGGCGCCGTGGAGGGCCTGGTGGCTCTGCTGGCCGGCGGCGCCCCCGCGCGCAGGAGCCGGCGCTCGCGCTGCAGAACCTGGCCGCCAACGACGCCGAGAACAAGCGCGCCATCGGCCGGGCCCCGGGCGCCGTGGAGGGCCTGGTGGCTCTGCTGGCCGGCGGCGCCCCCGGCGCGCAGGAGCAGGCGGCGGCGCGCTGGCCAACCTGGCCGGACGCCGAGAACCGGCGCGCCATCGGCCGGGCCCCGGGCGCCGTGGAGGGCCTGGTGGCTCTGCTGGCCGGCGGCGCCCCCGGCGCGCAGGAGCGGGCGGCGCTCGCGCTGCAGAACCTGGCCTGGGAAGACGCCGAGAACCTGCGCGCCATCGGCCGGGCCCCGGGCGCCGTGGAGGGCCTGGTGGGCCTGCTGGCCGGCGGCGCCCCCGGCGCGCAGGAGCACCCAGAGGCCCACGATCGTCATAATTATAGAGATTCTCTTTTTTTTTGGAGTTAACTTCCACATATGTACGATTTAGGAGGTGGATTTTGGAGAATCTCTAAAATCTATCTCCTTATTCTATAATTTATGGTGATATCTCTTTAAAAATAGAGTTGCGTATCCATAATAAGGATATGGGTGTGCTTTCTACGATTATGGAGATAACTATCTCTAAAAGTTTGTATCGGCCCCTTCGGGTTCTACAGATGAGTGTGAAAGGCGGATGGTCGCAAGACTAGGTATACGCATATTTTTATCACACGTCTACTCGAGGCCCTCGTCCTCGAAACAAAGAACAAGCCACTTCACTAACAGCACGGAAGACATGGTATTGGGATGGAGGGCTCCAGCCGATTCAGTGCACAGCCCAACTAAGTCCTCGTCGCCATAGCACCAGTAGTAAGACGCATTCCCCCATTCGGCTTGTTGCCACTCGCACGAATGCTCGACTAGGTGAGCTTTCGGGGTCAATTTCCACATCCTTTCGTTATTTTCTAGAGCATCGTTATGAAGCCAGTGGTAATACAGGCCAATCTTACGGCCCACATCTGCAAGCTCATCTTTCACATCATCAGGATAAAACATTGGATTGTTCGCCATGATCTCGTAAAGTTTCAATACTTCCTTACATAGTGCGAGCCTCATTTCGTCGTGGGTTGAGCCAGTGTTGAAACGCCTGCAAAGGTCTACCAAGTAAGGTGTAAGATGCCGAGCGCCCGCCCCTTTAGCTTTTAATTTTGGGTATTGCCCATCCTCCCGAATTCTGGTTGCAGTTAGTTTTCCCCTCAGCCTGGATGTGATTTTTTCTCGTTTGTAAAAGTCGTCTAGGTCACGGGCCAAACGCGCCGTGTTCTCTTCAATGTTCCGTCCGTGAAACACGCGTCGTCGAATACACTCCCAGAAAACATTTCCCGCGATATGCATCTGCAGACCCAGGTCCATCGCGTGTAATATGTCTATCATCACACAACTTAATTTTAGACCTACAACTTGTCTGAACAAGACTGGGATTGGTTTCCCCTGCTCGGTCAAGTAATCCAGGTAACCTTGGTGGGTCTCCTTGGTATCCCTCCACCCCGCGCCAGGGCCAAAATCGGTCCAAAACAAAGCTGGGTTTGTGCTGGATGCCTTACACATCCAACACATTCGGTCAGCCCCCTGCCAAGATGGAATGTGCAGCACCTCTGCGTAAAATTGCCAATCACCCCTTATTTGTACTAAACAACCGCGCCATTTGCCAGCTATACGAGGTCGAGTGGCACCATCACTTAGAAGCTTGTTTCCTGACCAATCGACCGCAGGCATCGCGCCAGACAACAGTGAATTCATTGACCAACTGAAAACAGCCCAGATGGCATCCAACGTCATTGTCGTGTAAAGGCTTTTCGAAATAATCGTGAAAATGAATCTCTTTCGTCTGGTATTGCCCCTGCCGAGTAAACTATTCCAGGACAGCACTAGAATAGATTCCTGTTTGTTGCAGGACCCTGCGTCTCCATGCAGTCCGAGTGGGATCGTTCGACCCCAGTCTTCCTCCTCGGGAGGGGGAGGGACAAAAGAGAGAGGGGGGGTGAAGAGGGGAAGAGCGAAGGAAACGAGGACGGGTGCGAAGGGGGTCAACGATATGAAGACCGCTAGCGCATTCTGATAAACGACTGCAAGGGTCCTTGAGATCTGGATGCTCCTGGACAAAGCTCGTGTGTCTGACTGCTCGCCAGTACTCCTCGCAAGAACCTGGCGGGCCAGCGACGCATGCGTGCCAAATGTCCCTCCGATCTGAATGCAGACACGAGAAAAGCGAATGAGGCAGGATGAATGGATGTGGTACCATCCCCTTTGTAGTCGGGATGTTGTAATACACGATATTCGGAGCTCCAGCTGGTTTCCCGAAGAGTCCAAGCAAGGCTCGTTGAATATGCTGAGGCCTTTGCCCAGAAGCTCCAGCCGCCGCTAAAGCATCTAACTTTTCGGCGCCCTGAGCCCGAGCATTCATCGCATAGTCTTGGACTTGCCGCGAATTTATTTTTCCAGTCGCCCAGTCTCGCTTGAGAACAGAAGTAAAAGGTAGCGGAGCCGCCTCAGACGCATCGTCATGCGATGCTTCCTGAACCCTCCTTCGGAGGGAGTTCGTGCTGGAAACGCCAGTGGAGGCCTCGTCGGGGCCCTCGAAATCTGCGCGTTCCAAGTGCTGAGAAATGCGACGCTTCATCCAAACATTGAGTAAGCAACGTGTGGGCTAGAACTGGTTTGGAGCCAAACTGGTTTGGGCCAAAATGGATACGGAGATGGACCAGATTCGAATGCCAGATCGGAAGCCCACTTGGGAGCGCAATCGTGTCAATGACTGGCAGCGTTAATCAAATGTGTTTCGTCGAAGAGTGTTTGCGTGCAAAGTCGTTTTTATGTTTGTTTATGGTCGTGAGCATGTTTTCGGCTGGAAGAAATGATACTTGCGCGATGCTCGTTTTTTCTTCGTTCCGGGCCTCTCCCGAAAAGCACCTCGCTCCTGGTGTTGATGTTTCCCCCACCTGGGACTCCAATTCTAAACGCCCTGTTTGTTGTTCTATTCAATGTCGTTTGTTCGTTTTTTTGTACTCGTGAAAGCCTCGTGATGCATCGAACTTGTGAAAACGTCGCATCGCTAGGGTGGACCGCTGCGCTCGCCACGACATCACACCCAGAATAGCTCAACACAACGAAACGCATGCCTCAGTCGCTCGTCAGGCGAGCGACCTATGTAAATTCTCCGTGGCAAAACAACCCTGCTCAACTCTTGCGCCTGCGCTTGACGGCCTTCTCGATCAGCCCGAACTTGGTCGCCCACTCCTCGATGTCACGCTGCTCTTTCTCGAGCTTGGCCATTGTCTCCACGAGCTGTTTCAAACCCGCGCTCTCTGGCTCCCCCCCCCCGACGATCTGGTCGATGATCTTCACAACCTTGTTCAAGCTGGACAAGTGTTTCTTCATCGCGTCATGAAGGTTCTCCGCGTACTTGGTATCTCCAGCTTTGTTGATCAAGCACTTGGTGGTGGTGACGAAGTCCTGAAATTTCCTCAGGATTGGTTGGGGGTTGTTCTTTATCTCCTCAACCTTCTCCTTCGTGAGCTCAGCCTTGCTCTTGGGCTCAATCTTGACCTGCCCCCCCTCGGGCTTAGCTGAAGAGGCTGGCTCCCCGTCTGCCAAGGCGGCCAAGTCGTCGAGGTCGCAGTTGGCCGCTTCTACCGTCGATCCGACCCTGACGTCCGTCTTGTCACCCTTCGCATACCTCGTCATCTCGCGAGGCACTCTGTATTCTTTCAGAGGGTCCTCGTTGCTGCCTGTCAGCGGATCAGGCCTAGTGAGGAGCTTGCCGCTCTGCCGCCACGCCTTGCTTTTCTCGATCCCCAGCTCCTTGTCCATGGTCTCCAAGCTCCACCAGAAGAACAAGCTGTTATCCTGCTTCTCGGAGGTCATCTGGCGCTCCACGGTCCGCTCCTTCTTCGCCTTCTTGTCCCGCATCTGCAGAGCGAGGAAATTCACCAAGAAACGCTTGCGGTCATCGCCACGACTGCTCGACGCGCCGTCGTCGTCCTCCGAAGGGTTCTTTTTCAACCAGGCGACCATGCAGCCCATCTTGGAACGCAGGCCTTTCTGATCCTCGATCATCTTTCTAGCCGCCTCCACCTCCTGGGCAGAGGGTTTCACATCCGAAAGCTTGCCCATGGCGCGTGGCCGCTGCGAGCTGGCTAGCGCGCGCGTGCGACGGAGGTGCGCCTCGTGCAGGCTAGTTGAGCCAAATTGATTACGGACGTGAGCCTCGTGAGGCCTCATGGGCCCCTTGAGACATCATTAGACGCCAGAGGTCTGCACGTTGCACTTAGCGCCCCCTGGGCGTACCGCAAATGAGAAATCGACACCAACCCGGCCCTGGGGGCCGGAACCAGGCCCTGGGGACCGGAAGGGGCACGTCAAAAAGTCAAAAAGTCAAACAGTCATTTTTTGACTTTTTGACTTTTTGACTTTGTTTTTTTGTGAGTGTTTCGAGGATTTGGGCAGTCAAAAAGTCAAAAAGTCAAAAAATGGCGTTTTGACTTTTTGACTTTTTGACTTCCCCCTTTGGGTTATCGGGGTCGCGCTCTGGGTTCCCAGGGTCGAGTCCCAGCAACGCGGGTGGATCTGGTTTCGTTTGGGCCAGCGTTGGCCTCGTTGTTGGGGCGAGCGATTCCGTAGAGGGCGATTTCGTTTTAAATTCGTTATGCGTTCGTCTTATGTTCGTCTTAGTTTCATTTTTTATGTTCGTCTTATTCGAACGAGCGCGAGACAAATGTGGTTGTTTTCTGGATCTTGGGAAGCCTTTGGGGAGCCTTTGTTTTTCCATCTTTCCAGCTCAGCCTCGAAAAATACCACACTCCTGGTTGCGCGTTTTCCCCACCAGTGAGCCTCTTGGAGCTAGTTTTAATGTCTATCGAAGGCTGCTTTGGGGGCCTCTGTTGTACCTTGCGGGGCCTCAGTTGCCACTTCCGAGGGTTAAAACTGAGGCCAAACTGGGGCCTCAGTTTTAACCCTCAAGCGGGCCAGGTCACCGATGGCCATGGCGCCGTTTGTGGACGTACGCTGTCCTTTCATCTGATCGCTCCTGATCGCTCCTCCTCCCCCCCCTCCTCAAGAGAACCAGGCGAGCCTTGATGGGGCCCGAGCCCGCACAACTTTTACATACAATTGTCCGCCTCCTCCTCCTCCTCCTCCTCCTCCTCCTCCTCCTCCTCATCGCCAGATTCACTCAAGCTGACCCTGGGAATGACTGGAATGAGAAGGCACAGCCGCAGCATGCAATTCATTTTCCGACTTAGTAGATGTCGCAGACGCCCTGCGCAACCCTCCCCGCAGAACGTCGAAATCTGCTGCATCGCTGGTCTTGCCAGTTGGACAAGCTCAAACTCGCTTGAAATCGGCAGCTCGCGCAAGCATGGCCAGGGGACAAGGGGGAACGAGAGCATGGGACACATGGCGTGTCTTTGCAGACAGCACTTGGTCCAGTCCGCCGCCCGAAGCAAACAAACAATACGTTGGAAGAGAGTGGGAGGGAACATGAGCTGAGAGACGGCGCGACTGCTGGCGAGGCTCACTTTCTGCTACTCTTTTTGATGATGCGACGCTTCTTCGGAGGCTCGGACTTCTCTGGTTCCTCGTCCTCCTCGTCGGAGGTCTCGTTGAATTTCGCTGCGAGCTTCTTCAAGCTGCCGAACTCACGTGCGCAGTGCTGGGTGATCGTTGCCACTTCAAGGCTAGGGTCCGACCGACGATTATCTGCCTGGAGCGGTTCTAACTTCGATAAGTTGCACGTGATCATGACGATGAGGTCATCGATGCCTTTCAAGAGGTCATTCGTGTGTGGATGCGCTGGAATGCGAGCAAGCCAACCTCCCGCAACAGTTTTCATGTTCTCGAGGGTCTCGAGCGCATCTCCAAAGTCGAACCCTTCATGGCTGCCGCGTGGAGAAGGGCTATCCTCCACCACTGGTACGTCGTGTACTGCCGATCCATCTCGTGGGGAAATTTCCCCAGCTGGGCCCAGGCGAAACGCCCGTCCTGTGTAAAACGGGATGTCTGGTTGGCTAGACATGTTCTGCTGGTGCCGAGGGCACTGGCAGCCCGATCGCGCCTTGAGCCAAACAGCTCTGGCAGCAGTGGGTCCTCAAGAGAACCAGGCGAGCCTTGATGGGGCCCGAGCCCGCACAACTTTTACATACAATTTTCCTCCTCCTCCTCCTCCTCCTCCTCTTCCTCCTCCTCCTACAGGACCCTGCACGAAAAGTCTGACCGAACGCCATTCTTGATGCATGGCGATGCTCGCTGCGCTACCTGATGAAAACTGATGCGCCATGCGGGAGGTCGTCTGAGTCCGCTGGTCGGAGTATGAGTGAATCAGATGTCTAGACACATCGGCGCATAGGAACGCGTGTTGTGTACGTGTGGGGAAGTGCGTGCATGAGTGAGTGCGTGAACGGGTCTAGTTTGCAGTGAGTCTGAGTATGAATGGGCCTCAGAAAGGGGGCTCCCAAATGAGACACCCCCTCCTTGCGGGCAGTCGGATATGCTTAGTTTGTTTCCTTGCCTGGAGGTTACTGCGTAGAGCCTCGATGGTCCCCTGTAGAGAGCCCCAGGGATCCCCGTGCTAAACAAAAATCCCTGTGCTGAGCAAACAATGCTTGCACTTGCTGTAAAAGCTCGGCAAGACAGGGATGTGTACTGAGAAGGCCAGAATCAGTAGGAGCGATACCATGGGAAAAGGCCGCCTGAGAGTCATGCTGTTTGGAGCTCCGACGGGCACTACATCTGCTGCTTGCTCTGCATGTATGAGGTTGTTGTTTTGTTTGAAGGGCACTCTGGAACACTCTGAGGCAATGCCATCTGGATCAGAGTGGGCTCGCATCGGAGCCCGCAAAAAACTCAAGCGATATTGCGAAGAAATGCGTATGTATTAAATGCTGGCGGAGATAGTAGCAGATGCATCGACATAGCAATGAAAGTGCCAAGGCGTCTGGAAATCAATCACCGCCTCCGTATTTCCCTTTGAATCGATCCATCACAGTTTTAGTAGCTTGGCTTGCTCTTTGACTCACCATGTCATCAGCCATTTCAGCTTTTCTGCAACGATCTCTCTCTCTGTGCCAGATAATCGAGTGAAGTCTCTTGTACTGTGTCTTGTAGGGCTGGCTTTCCGTGGGCTTGTATCTCTCGAACAACTCATCGATGGAAATCTCCTCACCAGGTGAACATGCTGCTGGTCTTTTCCGAGCCTTCTCCACCTTCGCACCTGGCTTTTGCGGTTTGACGTCAAGGGCAGCCTGCATCAGATCAACTTTGCCTTTCGGCGTCGTTCCGCAGGGTTCCTCGGCATCATCAGCAGCAGGTTTCTTCATGGGACTTCCTTCGGCCCCGTCAGCAGCTGAACTGGACTGTGTGATATGTCCTGCGCCATGGGCTGCAACCTCCTTGGAGCCGCTGGTCGAAGCACGCGCCCTTGGGAAAACAGCTGCTTCCAGTTGTTCGAAATCGATCTCCCCTATGTTAGTTCCCGAACAAGAGCTGGGCGAAACGCATGTGCTGGACACAGAGATTGCAAGAGCCCTCTTCTTTCTGGGTGGTGATACTGCCTCAACGTCGCTGCTGCCGTTCTCCTCATTATCGCTGTCATCTCCGTCCACAACAATTGTCTGTAGCAGAGCCGATAACGGCTTGTACGCTGTCGGCGGTTCCTTCCCAGATTTGGTCGAAGCCCGTTTGAAATCTCGCAGGTGCGACATCATGTTACGAAGTCTGTACGATATTACCTCACAGTCTGGGTGGGTGACCCGCACATTGTTTTTATTGTAATAAGTGTGCAACTGAAGGCAGAATGTTTTGTGTTTGAGCATGCGTCCACCCGTTAGCTGAAATATGTCGGTGAGAGCTTGGCGATTCTTTTTGATTCCAGGCCAATCGACGCTCTTTTTTTTGTCATTTGGACTTCCCTTCGCATACTGAAATATTGCTTTCAGCGGGCTCCCAACATTCACGTTCGAATCGAAGAATTGGTTTGCTTCGACATCAGAAATCTCTTTTCCAGTAAGTCGTGGAGGCATGAATCTTGCTGAGCCAAAACGGCTGCGGAAAGGAACGGCGACAAGGCCAATGACAAACCGCGTGAGGGGTGTGCCGAAATACATGGAGGAAGCATGCGAACGTCACCACTGGGGCCCTCGATGGAGCTCCATTGGGGGGTCATGAACCGCGTGAGGGGTGTGACGAAATTGGCGGCGTAGACGCATGCGACCGCTGCCACTGGGCCTTCGGTGGAGTTTACTGTGGGGTCACGGCATATCTCTATATTTTATATTTTGGAGTTGCGTTTGTGGCATGACTCCAAAAATAAAGCATTTCCATAATTATGACGCTGGATGGGCCTCTGGGCAGGCGGCGGGCGCGCTGGTCAACCTGGCCCACGACGACGCCGAGAACCGGCGCGCCATCGGCCGGGCCCCGGGCGCCGTGGAGGGCCTGGTGGCTCTGCTGGCCGGCGGCGCCCCCAGCGCGCAGGAGCAGGCGGCGCGCGCGCTGGCCAACCTGGCCGTCAACGACGCCGAGAACCAGCGCGCCATCGGCCGGGCCCCGGGCGCCGTGGAGGGCCTGGTGGCTCTGCTGGCCGGCGGCGCCCCCGGCGCGCAGGAGCAGGCGGCGCTCGCGCTAAGAAACCTGGCCGTCGACGACGAGAACCAGCGCGCCATCGGCCGGGCCCCGGGCGCCGTGGAGGGCCTGGTGGCTCTTCTGGCCGGCGGCGCCCCCGGCGCGCAGGAGCAGGCGGCGGCGCGCTGGCCAACCTGGCCTGGGAAGACGCCGAGAACCGGCGCGCCATCGGCCGGGCCCCGGGCGCCGTGGAGGGCCTGGTGGCTCTGCTGGCCGGCGGCGCCCCCGGCGCGCAGGAGCGGGCGGCGCTCGCGCTGCAGAACCTGGCCTGGGAAGACGCCGAGAACCGGCGCGCCATCGGCCGGGCCCCGGGCGCCGTGGAGGGCCTGGTGGGCCTGCTGGCCGGCGGCGCCCCCGGCGCGCAGGAGATTTTAAGTTTTTTTGAAAACACATAACGCGCGTTATGTTGCTGGGTGGGTGGGTGGGTTCGCTGCCACATAACATAACGCAGTCGCCCGCGGCTGCTCGAATGCGGTTCTGCACTGCAAATGTTGCTA